GAAGAACGCCCTTCTTGTTCTCCCAAGGACCTTGCTCACTTTGAAGTAACAGATGGTAGATATTTAACCTAAGTTTCTTTTTTCCAAAACCTGCATCTCTAGGATTTTGTGTATCCTGTGCGACTTGTTTTTCTTCACCACTGTATAACCTTTAAAGAACAAAGATGTATTTTTTATCACAAGATTGTAAATGGTGTATTTGCATATAACTAAAAAAACAACTGCGATAGTTGGAACATTTTTATCCAGAACTGACAGTTTGCAAACGTCTACCTTTCTCTCACATTTTTAATAAATAGTTGATCTCTTTAATTGTTAAAGTTTTATTGTTTCCAAAACCGTATCAACAGTTGGGAGGTGTGATTATTAAGGCTGTGTTTCAGCTTGGCTGCGCCATGATTCTCATTGGCTTGGCAGTTATGATGTAGTTTGGCAGTCGTATAATGATGTAATCACCTCATGATGAGATTTGATATAATGGGATCACCTCCATGATGGGATCTGCTGTGAGTAGCCAGTCAGTTGAAAGGGAGTTCTCTTGGGGGTGTGGCCTGCATCCAATATAGGTGGGCTTTCTGGCAAGGCTGGGGGCTTTTGCTCACTCTGGATCCTGCAGCTGGCTCCTATTCATCTGACCTCCAGTTCTTGGCAGCTGAGCTAGCAGCTTACCTGCTGCCTTGCCTGCTGATCTTGGGATTCATTGGTCTTCGCAGCCTGTGAGCCAAACCTCTGCTGTCTGACTTGCCGATCTTGGGTTCACCAGCCCCTGCAGCCTTGTGAATCAGGAGAAGCCACCAGCCTGACCCATGGACTTGGGACGTTCCAGCCTCTACAACCGTGTGAGTCATTTCCTTTATTTATGTATTTGTATTAAATGTGTTTATACACTTCACTGGTTTTCTTTCTCTAGAGAACCTAGCCTAAGACAGGAGGTGACAGCACTGACCTCAAAGCCCTTAAACACGCTCCCGTGTGGGTGTCAGGCACTGGCTTACCCCAGCACGTGGGCCTAGAGACCTTCAAGGTGCTGCTGTCACCGCGCTGGGCAATGAGAACAGTGAGCACCAAGATCGGGTCGGGGGAGAGGTGACACACTTCTGTCCCCGTCTAGCCTCATCTCACAACACTAAACTACTGCGTACAGGGGTTCAGAGGGTTTAATGACATACGAACGTCATCTTTCAATTGAGGAAACTGCAACTTCCCACAAGGGCCCCACCTGAGGATGGAAGTCCTTTGAAGTTCCTACTGGTGTTTCTCTCCTTCGAGCCTTTGCTCAGATTGGCTCTTTTACTTGTTTTAATCCCCCACGTGCTCCCCTCCCCATCACATCAATTACGATTTCCTTAAGGAAGTACCCTCTTGAGGGATGCCCTTCTTGTTAAGTTCACAGTGACCTTACTCTTTTATCTAATGGCCCCGTGTGTCTGGCACACATTCTTTGTCACATATTATGACAGAGAAGCCACATCAAGTGAAAAGAAATGGGACCTGTTCCTTGGGGCCTTGGGGCCTTGGGGCCTCAGTCTTTAGGAGGCCTATGCAGGAAGGTGACTCGTGTCTTGTAGTGAATGCTATAGTACACCACCCAGATGCCCGTCTTTGGGACTGAAACAGGCATTCCTGTACCTGCCGAGTGCTGGCAGACAGCCTCCTCTCCCCAGAGGACTCCCTCTTTCCAGGGGGCAGTCGGAGTTCAGTGACTGGTTGATGCAGGGGTATAAAGGCCCAGCCCTTCACCACGTTTAGGGCTACTCTGCTCAGCCATCCCAGCTCCAGAAGGCCCCCTGATATTGGCTGAGGTTGTAAGTGTGACTGTACCTCTAACCTTGAAGACCCCTGCTTTCTTAAAATCATTTTGTTGTTGTTGCTTTGGTTCTTCCATTTTCTGCAGATCTTGAACTATATTAAATTAGGTCTACCTTTCTCAAGTTTCCCCATCCAGATTCAGATAATAGGTAGCTTTTTAACCTGGTATATTATATCTTCAACTGAACTAAATTCCTTGAGAACTGGTATCATAGCTTATCCATCTCTGATTTCCAGGACATGACACATGGTACACAGTCAAAGATGTGTGTGGTAAGAATGAACAAATTCCAGTATCAAATAAAGAGGGCTCTTACCCTAACTGGAGCCCTGGTGGCACAGTGGTTAAGAGCTACAGTGAGCTACAGCTGCTAACCAAAACTTTGGCAGTTCGACTCCACCAGCTGTTCCTTGGAAACCCTATGGGGCAGTTCTACTCTGTCCTATAGGGTTGCTATAAGTTGGAATCAACTCAACAGCAGTGGGTTTGGTTTTTAGTTTTTACCCTAATTAATTAGTCTCTATTCATCAATAAAAGGTAGTCACCAGAAGAAATTATAAGTTAACTGAAGTGACCCAACAGCCTGTTATGTTCTAGTCACTACTATGCTGGGTGCCCACTGTATAGAATTATGACACAAGTTTCTACCTTAAAGAGCTCAAAGTCTAATAGGGAGCCCAGATCAGCAAAAGAACGATGGAAACATACAGTAATACTAGTCAAAATTCAACATAAACTTCACAATCTTAAACTAGACAGGTACCTACATTTCTTCTACGCATGTTCATATCTGCTACCTGCCTCCATCCATTGGTGGTGGGATCATACACTTCAACACTTTTTTGTACTAAAGGGCCATCATGACCTCCTACACCATACAATAAGTTGTTTAACACACCAACACCTGTAAAACACAAAAGGGCCAAGAAATTTATAACATATTAGGGTGTATTCCAATCACTTGTAACTAAAACTTTTGAAATTATTATTCATAGTAAAAGTAAGTCAGTGTTAGAGCATACAATTTAAGAAACAGAGGAGAAAAGAACTGACAGTTAAACAGGAATCCCAGTAAGAACTATTATTCTAAAAAAAACGCCTGTCAAACAAATTAAGAAGCCCTGGTGGTGCAGTAGTTGAGTGGTGGGCTGCTAACCAAGAGGTCGGTGGTTGGAACCCACCAGCTGCCCTGAGGGAGAAAAATGTGGCAGTCTGCTTCTGTAAAGATTCCATCCTTTGAAACCCTATGAGGCAGATGTACTCTGTCCTGTAGGGTTGCTATGAGCTGGAATAGACTGCATTGAAATGAGTTAAGTTTGGGTTTTATTCAAATAAAATAAAAATAATATGTAGTTAGAACACAGAAGGGAAAGAAGTTCTTTAATATAAACCTTTTGAAAACAAGTTTTAAAATGATAAAAAGCAAAACAGTATTAAAAGCATAAATTTTAAACGAAATGAATATGAAGACTAGATGTTAAACAACCTCCCTAAACCAAAACAAACACACAAAGAAACCATTGCTTCAAGAGGATTCCTACTCAGAGCAGCCCTACAGGACCAAGGAGAACTGCTCCATCGGGTCTCCAAGGAGCAGCTGAAACCAAAAACGGAAAAGAATGCCAGACAATATAAATTTGGAAGTGAAACAGAGAACTCCTTTAATATAGGACTTAGAAATAAAATT